GGAGATTATTTTTTTCCATTTCGTTAAGGAGCACTGTTGAAAATTGTAGTACATATACATGATAGAATGCTACATGTTAAAGAATAATGATGAATCTGCAAAATAGCTATCTCATTAACATGGATGAACTTAGAGACCATTATGTTGAGTGAAGTTTGTCAATCACAAAAGGACAAATATTGTATAAGACCGCTATTGTAAAATATCAAGAAAAGGGTTTCACAAAAAAAAGAAATATTCTTTGATGGTTACCAGAAATGGGTGGGGAAGAGAGAGTAAACCACTAACCAGAGGGAAGACACATATTAACTTAGTAAAAAGTAAAAATTAAATAATTTTCAATTATTTAATTTAAAAAATTGAAATAAAAAGTAAAATTAAATAAATAATGTTGTTGAGATTTAGATTGGAATTGCATTATATCAATAGATTGCTTTTGGTAGTTTTGACATTTTCACAACATTAAGTCTTTCAATGCATGAGCATAGAATATTTTTCCACTTATATAGGTCTATCTTAATTTCTTACAGTAGCATTTTATAGTTTTCCTTTTGTAAGTCTCTTATGTCCCTGGTTAGGTTTATTCCTAGGTATTTTATCTTCTGGGGCTATTGTAAATGGTATTGTTTTCTTGGTTTCCATTTCAAGTTCTCCTTGTTAGTGTTGAGGAACTCAACTGATTTTTGTGTGTTGATCTTGTATGCTGCCACTTTGCTGAATCCTTCTATTATTTCCAGTGACTTTCTTGTGCAATCTCTGGGATTTTATATGTATAGGATCGTGTCAGCTGTGAATAGGGATAGTTTTACTTCTTTTCCAATTTAGATGCCCTTTATTTCCCTTTCTTGCTTTATTGCTCTGGCTAGGACTTCCAGTACAATATTGAATTTTGTTGTTGTTGTTATTTGCCGACAATATTGAATAGAGTAGTGATAATCGGCATCCTTGTCTCATTCCCATTCTCAAGGGGAATGTTCCCAGTCTTTCTCCACTGAGAATGTTGACTGTTGGTTTTGCATATATGCCCTTAACTATGTTGAGGAATTTCCCTTCTATTCCTATTTTGCCAAGTTTTTTTTTTTTTTTTTTTAAATCAAGAAAGGGGATTGGATTTTATCAAATGCATTAATTGAATGATCATGTGATTTTTTCCTTTTTTATTTATGCGGTGAGTTATGTTGATTGATTTTCTAATGTTGACCTCCCCCACACACCCTTGCATCCCTGGTATGAATTCTGCATGATCATGATGTATTACTACTTTTTTTAAATTTATTTACTGTTGAATTCTATTGGCTAGAACTTTGTTGAGAATTCTCATATTTTTTCCTCACCTCCCTAACTTGATTTCATTCTGTGCTCTACAAAAGGTGGTGCTGTCACAAGAGAATTCAGGACCACCAAGCCAACTTCTTTGGGCCCCTGATAGATGGCTCCTACAGGAGAGAGGTGAGATACAGGTTGGCGAGTGTCTTGGCAGCTGAGAATGGAGTAAGGACACAGAGTGGTTGGAGATGCCTTTCTGGAGCCCAGAAGTGTGTTCATTATTGAGCATTTATAAAAGATCTTGTATTGCATAACTATGTACTGAGTCTGAGTCAGTATCAAGAATAATTACATTTTTTTTGCCTTCATCTTAAATCATATTTGTAAAAATAATCAAAGATTTATTAAAAATGATTCTACAAAGCAGTTTATCAAAGAAATTTAATGCTTTCTGTCATTTACTACATATATGTGTATGTGTGTGTGTGTAACTTGATATATATAGTAAATAGTATACATATGTGTACACATATAAAACTCATAATATAATTCAGTAACTCCTACCCAATTACCAGTTTACCAGTATGTAAAATTTGAAATAATCATAATTTTACCTCTTTAGATATTGGAAACCTGAGGTTTTTAAATATAGCATAGATACCTGAGTACTAGGGCTAGGTGATAGAAAAGAAAATATAAAAGCAGTGGGAAAAGAAGGACCAAAAGTTTTGCCATGAAGCTTTGGGGAAAATAAAGCAAGATGGGAAAATGTGAGCCTGGGTTTTATAAATGCTTTTTGGTGGCATCTGGTGGCACAGTGCCTAAGGCATTTGACTGCTAACCAGAAGGCTGGCAGTTCAAATCCACCAGCCATTCCTTGGAAGGAAGGTGGGTCAATCTACTTCCGTAGTGATACTGCCTTGGAAACCCAAGGAGGGGTTGCTATGAGTCTGATCCGACTCAGCGATGGTGAGTTTGGTTAGGTTTGGTTTTGGTGAAAAGGAATGTGGTTAAGATTTGCATGAAAAATGCTCATAGAGTTGGGATCTAGCAATTCTGAAGTCATAAAATGAGACCCAGAAAGGCATAGACTTTTGGACAGAGGACTAGGCACACCCACAAGTAGCTTTTTATCAAGTATATATTGGGATGATAAAAAAAAAAAGATAAAATGTATTTCTAAGTGTATCATTGAAACTTCAAACCAAACCAAACCCATTGCTGTTGCCTCACTTCTGTATCATAGATGAGAATATAACTGCCCCATAGTGTTTCCAAGGCTATGAATCTTATGGAACCAGACTGCCTCATCTTTCTTCCATTGAGTGCTGATGGGTTAAAACTACCAACCTTTCTGTTAACAGCTGAGCACTTAACCACTGCACCACTAGGGCTCCTTATATACCATATAAACCAAAACCAAACTCACTGCCATGGAGTCGAATCAGACTCATAGCACCTCTCCTTGGGTTTCCAAGGTGGTATCACTATGGAAGTAGATTGCTCAACCTTCCTTCCAAGTAGTGGCTGGTGGGTTTGAACCACCAACCTTCTGGCTAGCAGTCGAGTGTCTTAGGCACTATGCTACCGGAAAAGAATGTAAACAGATACTGAACTCCAGTTAATGATATGCATGGTAAACTGTTTAGGAATAAAGTATATTGATATCTTCAACCTGCTTTGAAATACATCAAAAAATAAAATGGATTAATAGAAGGACATGTAGATGAATAAATATATGATAAAGCAAATATTGCAAAAGGTTAGCTATAGAATGTAGGTGGTAAGTATATGGATATTATCATAAAGTTCTTTGAATATTTCAGTATATTCGAAAATGTTCATAATAAAATGCTTCTTGAAAAAGATCTAATGGGGAGGTTTAAGTTTGTTAATATTATGAGGGAAAAAAGCTGTTATGGAACATTGTAGGGCAAAACAGGTGTCTGCTGTGAGCTCTGTATTATCTAGGTGGATTTGGGACTTTTTGAAACAGAATTATAAAGCAATTTGGGGCTATTGAAGTGAGACTTCGGGAAAACTGAGTGGAATCCACATGATTGAAATACAGCCTTGGTCTTGGTGGAAAGCTAAGTGTAGTCTAGACCAAAAAAGAGGCTTCTTGGGAAATATCTGTGGGAAGAATCCAATTTGCTCATATAGTAAAACTGAAATGATAGCTTTGGGGGCCTGAGGCCAAGAATAATCCTAAATTTTTAGCAGTAGATGACTTTGACACCGCTGGTATCTTGAGAGCAAATATAAATTGCTCAGACTCAAACTTGGGGTTGTGTTGGTCAGCCATCAAGAAAGATAAGTCATCTTAAACATTGTAACTACAGAAAGGGTGAGCTGGCCTACAAGGAATACAGTAGAGCCCCATTAATTAGTAATGTGAAGTACTTCTCCCCCAATTCATGTGGATTATACCTGGCCACTTTTGCACTTTAAGACATAGCATGTGCTATACTACATTGTTGCGGGAAGGATACTAGGGAATTAGTAGGAGAATTATGGGAGAAAAGAGATTCTTCTTGAATAAGAACAAGGAAATTGGTTTTCTAATAAATTAATTACTGGTAGACCACCCATTAAATTACCTAAAGAAATAATCTTTAGGCTTAATACTGGATATTTCTGCCTGGTGGCATAGTCCCTAAGGCATTTGACTGCTAACCAGAAGGCTGGCAGTTCAAACCCACCAGCCACTCCTCGGAAGGAAGGTTGGGCAATCTACTTCCGTAGTGATACTGCCTCAGAAACTCAAGGAGGGGTCGCTATGAGTCGAATCGACTCAACAGCAGTGAGTTTAGTTTGGTTTGGTTTTCTCCTCCCACTCAAAAAAAAAAAAAGGATTTCTGAAGAAAACTACCTCAACTTTTGAATAAAGAAGCTGTGAGTCAGTGATTTGGGCTTTTCAACATGTTTTGTTTGGGAAGGAGGTGAGGTTATTTCAAGATGAAGACAAATCAGAGAAAAATATGTAGTAGGGAAGGGAGAAGAAGAAAGCACACTTAAGTTTGGCTTGACTGCCTTGCCTGGACCTGAGGCCCAACACCATGAGCTGAAACTCGAGAAATAATGAGCAGTATACTGTAAGACAGTAGGATTAACCCCTAGGCTAGGGCTGCAGAAGCTCCATTTGCAGAGAAAGGTTGAAAGCAAAGGGTTTTATTAATGCTGTGCCAAATTAACTCTTGACTTATTTCCCCTGCCTCAGCACTCCCAGTTCCTCAGTGCCCTGCCTTTGCCAAAGATAGAAGCCGAGGAAACCTGCCAGACGCAACTGTCACACTGGTCACCCAGGCCCAAGTGAGCTGAAGCCCCTTGCAATCTTCCTGAAAACACATCACTGCTTTGTAAATGTGACTTTATTTCACTGCCTTCTATGCAACTCTCAAATACAGGTGTTTCCTCTCATAAGGAACCACTTGTGGATTGTTTCCTCTTTCATTTTTTGCTACTAAAAGGCTATATTCCCTTTCACATCCCCAAATATCCACCAAAGCAGTAATAGCCTTTCATTTCTGTAAACCTTCTGCCTACAAATTGTTTTACTCTCTTCCGTTTCATGAGAGAACTATGGGTTTTTTTTCCAGGACAGCAGGAACATACTGATTGAGTCAATGACATTTGAGGATGTTGCCGTCACCTTCACTGATAGGGAGTGGCAATGTCTGACCCATGCTCAAAGACATCTCTATAAAGATGTGATGTTGGAAAATTACGGGAATATGGTATCACTTGGTAAGGTTTTTTCCTGTGCTTGATTAAGTACATTTCTCTCTCTCTCTCCTTTTTACTTTTTTTTGTTGTTGTTGTTGTTCTTTGCTTCATATTCATGTTTGTGGGGTCTTCTAGAGAAAATCAGAGTTCTTATTTTATCATCAGGATTGTCCCCAAAAATAAAAATTTTGAGTTGCCTCTGCTATACAACAAGAGAATTTTCTAGCCAAACTAGTTGTTGTTTTCTGAGTTTTTGGAATAGGACTCTCCCTGGGTGAAAACAAGATACTTAGCTTCTTTTCTCCCTGAATTCTTGTTTCCTCTAGTGTTATCCATTAGGTGTTCTATACCCAGCTCCTAGTCATGAACTCCCACCCAACAGCCCAAAACAGATAGCCTCCTATCCTCCCAAAAAGAACAAGGAAATATACTCAGATAACTATTTCCCTTTTAAATATGAATTTTCTGAGAAAGACCCTACCTAAACATGTTCTTTTACATGTTACCAGACTCCTATATAAACTCTTTTCCACTAACCAAATAGACATTTCTTTCCTGTTGCCGTATGCTAATACAGGGACCAGGGAAAGTGCTAGAATAGTTCTTTGTTGTTCTACCCACTGTCTTATTCCTTCTCTCTCACCAGGATTTCCATTTTCTAAACCTCCTTTGATCTCCCTTCTGGAGCAAGGGACAGAGCCCTGGGTTCAGGATCTACAGGACAGGGACTCTCTGAGCTGCTCCTGCCCAGGTGAGTGATAGAACTTAAGTTCCCTCCTACCTTCCACGTGCTCAAGTGGCTATGGCATGATCCTGCTGGTGGGTCATCTCTCATGAAGGACCAATAAAGGAAATCCATCTAGGAAACCTTCAGGAAGAGAAAAGAACAACAAATTACTTGAGCAGTTACCTTTTCATTATCTAAGTGGTTATTTGCAACCTATCTAATGTTACCAGGTGTCGTTGAGTCAGTTCCAACTCATAGCGACTGTACAATAAAGCAAAACACTGCCTAGTCCTGCACCATCCTCAGTCATTGCTGTGTTTGAGCCCATTGTTGCAGCCACTGTATTAATCCCTCTCATTCAGGGTCTTCCTGTTTCTGGCTGCCCCTCTACTTTACCAAGCATAACATCCTTCTCCAAGGACTGATCCTTACTAATAACATGTTGAAAATGTTTGGCCCTCAAAAAAACTCATCCTCCCTTCTAACCTATCTAACAGGCTCTTTGAAATTTGGCCTTCAAAAAAAGCTCAGAAAATACCACTTTCTTGCCTCTAGTTTTCCTTCAGGACTTTCCCTGTTTTGAGTCTGGGCCTTTGGCCCTTGCCTTTCTCTGTTCCCTCCGATTGTGAAGTTAGTTTTTCTCATGGCTTCAACTATCAGGTCTGATGCAAGTGCACGTTGGTAACTGTAACCTTTGCCTCTTTTCTGGATACCAGACTCATGCATCTAAGTCCTGGTTTTTATTTGGATATTCCATTGTCATCTGAAAAGCAATATCTAAAACCAAACTCATCTTCCCACAATGCTGTCTCTTTATTAAGCTATCCCTATTTTTATCTCTCATTCTACCTTTTTCTCATTTTGCCTTTCCATTCTCCATGACCCTCTTGTCTCCTCAGTCATGAAATATTACTACTACTTCAATCAAACTGTTTTCTGAATTTGTTCTTTAAAAGATTTCTTGACTTGTTTTCCCTTTATTTACGTGCCTATTTCAGCTGCCCAATTATAACACCCATCCTTCCTCCCTTTTTTCCATCCTTGAAAAATATTGAGCAACAATGTATACCATGCACTGGGAGCTCTGATAGCGTGGTGCCTAAGGCATGTGACTGCTAACCAGAAGGCTGGCGGTTCAAACCCACCAGCCACCCTTGGAAGACAGATGGGGCAATCTACGTCCATAGTGATACTGCCTCGGAAACCCAAGGAGGGGTCGCTATGAGTCAGGTCCGACTCGACAGCACATAACAACAACAACAGCTATGCTTAGAGCCTCACCTTACCTACTCTGCACTCACGAGTCCAAAGGCCAAGAAAGAGAATCTGGCCTGGTTTGGGTCAGGTGTTGTGCTCCCCCTTTCTAATCTACCCTACCCAGATGAGCAGAGTCACAGCAGAAACGTGGCTCTCCAGGGCCCACAGCTCAGACCTAAAGAAGTACTATACTGACACCTCAGCACCCCCTCTGCAGCTCATTTCATGAGTAGAATTTGTAAAATGTTAGCTGAGCAAATATGAGGGTAGGAAGAAAGAGTTAAAAATGATTTCTAGCTTCCTGCCTGGTGACTAAAAGAAAAAAAAAAAAAAATCACTGCCATCGAGTCGATTCTGACTCATAGCAACCCCCATTAGATTTCCGAAGCTGTTAATCTTTACCTAAATTGATTGTCCCATCTTCCTTCCAAAGAGCAGCTGGTGGGTTTGAACCACCAACCTTCTGACAGGTGGCTAAATATATAGAATTAATTGTCATTCACTAAACTAGTAGATTGTAGAGGAGGAGTAAGTTTGTAAAGATTTTTTATAAAGTTTATTAAGTTTGAAATACATTTTTCTTACTTCAGCTTATCCCAACCTTTGAGCATAATGTTAGCAATTTTTTAAGCTTGGAAAAGCCATTTACTTTTCACCTCCCCTATCTCATTTACTTCCTTTCTTCTAAATAACTGACATTTTTATTTTCTCTTTTAAGTGTCAACTGCCAAGATATGGCCTGAGAATGAGAAGGCACATGCAAAACGAGAGGTTTTTGAAAATAGAGAAGTTTGCTGGATGAAATGTAAAAGTCTCCTAAAAGTTGTTTCCCAGGGTCCTGGGGTTGGAGAAGTTGGTGTACAGGATGTCAAATTAGAGAATCAATGGGAAATGCCTATGAGGAAGAAACTGGGAGAAGAGAAAGAAGGCTCTGAGGAAATGACTGTTAAGAAAGGAAGGAACCAGAAGGTACTTAGAGAAAACATCAATCCAAACTCAAAACAACTCCTATGTAATAGAAGTCCTACAGAAAAGAAACTCCACGACTGTGCCAAATGTAGAAAAAATTTTAGTTGGCATTCAGATCTAATTCTCCATGAGCGAATTCATTCTGATGAAAAACCCCATGCCTGTAATGAGTGTGGTAAAGCATTCAAGACCAGAAATCAGCTTTCTATGCACCAGATAATCCATACAGGGGAAAAACCTTTCAACTGTGCCCAGTGTGGGAAGGCCTTCAATAGTAGGTCAGCTCTTTGCTGCCATAAAAAAATCCACAGCCGGGAGAAGCCTCATGAGTGCAGTGACTGTGGGAAAGCTTTCAAGACCAAGAACTGTCTCAGTATGCATCAGATCATCCACACTGCGGAGAAGCCTTATGAATGTAACGACTGTGGTAAGGCCTTCCAGTTCAGGCATTCTCTTACCATCCATGGCAGAATCCACACTGGGGAGAAACCATACGAATGTGAGGAGTGTGGGAAGGCCTTCAGCGGGAGCTCAGATCTCACCAAACACACAAGAATCCACACTGGTGAGCGACCTTATGAGTGCAACGAGTGTGGGAGGGCTTTCATTCGGAGCTCAGACCTAAGCAAACACAAAAAAGTCCACACTCGGGAGAAAAACTATGGGTGTCCTCAGTGTGAGAAAGCCTTCAGTATCAAGGCAGAGCTCACCAAACATAGAAGAATCCACACTGAAGAGAAACCTTACAAGTGTAAGGAGTGTGGGAAAGCCTTTCGTCATAACTGTAAACGCAGGGCTCATGAACGAGAACACAGTGGGGAGAAGCCCTATCAATGTGGGGAATGTGGGAAAACTTTCCAGGATCGGCACTGCCTTACCATCCATCAAAGAATCCACACTGGAGAGAAACCTTACAAATGTTCAAAGTGTGGTAAGGCTTTCAGTGGGAAGTCAAACTTGACCAATCATCAGAGAATTCACACTGGAGAGAAACCTTACATATGTGAGGTATGTGGAAAAGCCTTTCATCATAGTTCAGTCTTGAGGCAGCACAAAAGAATCCACACTGGTGAGAAGCCATATACCTGCAATGAATGTGGTGCGTCTTTCCGACAGTGCTCAGCTCTAATTGGACATCAGAGAGTTCATACTGGGGAGAAACCTTATGAATGTGAGGAATGTGGAAAAGCTTTCAGAGTAAGCTCAAATCTTACTGGACATAAAAAAAGAAAACATAGAGTGTGGAGATCCCATGAACTTGATGAGTAGGAAGTCTGTTTCTCAGACCTTCCCAGTAGTCAGTATTTTGACCACCAACCCCTGAGAGTAATGATTCTCATGTTTCCACTTTCCCATTTCTCCTTCTACATCTTGGAATGGTCCTTCTCAGTCCCCTATATTGATTCTTATTGATTCTCTGACCCCTGAGTGTAAGATCCCAAAGATATCCTTGAACTTCCTATTTAGTATTTATTTCTTCAGTGAGCACATGCATTTCCACAGCTTTGTATATCACCTCAGAACAATAATATCAGATAATTACTAGTGCTTCCCATGTGTCAGGCACTGGTCCAAGGGCTTTACACATTTTAACTGATTTTATCCATACAACATCCCTGTAAGATGAGGAAATTGAGGCATAGGAAAATTAAAAAATTTGCCTAGGATCACATGAGAGTCAGTCTTTCACAAATGGTCCTAAAATGTTCAGACTTATCTAGGCAATATCTATATGCCTACATGACATCTTTTTGGATATGAAGCTATACCTCACTCAGTTCAGGAGGGAAATTATTTATTTATTTATTTTGTGATAAGCATTGATCTCTCTGTCTCTCTTTCTCTCTAGCAAGTTGTGTTTCTTGTTTCTTGGAATTTTTCTTTTTTTTTTTTTTTTTTTTTTGACCTTTAAGCCTGAAATGGTACTTCTCTGTATGGAATCAGCATTGTCAAGATTTGGATTCAGGGGAGAAGAGAAGTGGGAGAAAGGCAGCTTTAAAAACTATTAAGTTTTTTAATTTTTTTTTTTTGGACAAGTAGAAGTCCACTGTGTGCTGTTCAAATAGCAGTTCACATACGGGAAGAATATGAAGCCTGTCTTAACCTTAAGTTATAAATACACACAAGCTTTTTATTATTTCTTAAACATTTGCTATGTCTTTGCATGACATGTGAAATGTTCTTTCAAATTTACTAGTAAATTTCTATCTTTTCAAGTCTCTCAGTGTATGTTACATCTATCCCTTTCTCTACCAAATGTTGTCAGGTCATTATTGCAGAGTGAATTAACACAAATAGCCACATACAGTAAGGCTGTTAAAATGGAAAATCCTAGAAAGGGATTCAAATGTGGAAGCTTAATTAACATAATGACCATAATTGAGAATTAAATTTAGCTCTGAGTTTCTTTTTTTGGTTTGGTCTGAGTTTCTTAGATAGTAAAGAAAGAGAGAAACAGTGGGTTACCCAGCGTTTCTCAAAGGTATTTTACAAGTTAATTGTTTAAATACTTTGTTTAGAAAATACCACCCAGTGATGTTTTTATTTATACCCTCAAAGACTTCTCAGGGCTTAGAAAGTGCTCCATCCAGTTTGAATCTTAAACAAGGAAATTATAAGCATTGCTTTCTAAAAGTATTTGACCACAGAATTCAGTTCAAGGGAGAATCTTCATGAATCTTGTTTCACAGAGAATATTTTGGGAAATGTTGCTTATACATGTATAATAATGAAGGACAAAGAGTCCAAGAGACTCAATTTTCTAGTAATAAATCCCAAAGGAATTACATGATTTATTATATAAGAGACAATGATTAAAACATTGTTCCTTAGGTTCCATTTCTACAGAAATTATGGCATATTATTTCTATGGCCATTTCTAACATAGCTTCTTGATGAACACCAAGAAGAAAACATTTAGGACGTAATTCAGCGAAATTATTTCTATTATAGAGAACCAAACTGGATATGTGACTTTTAGATGAAACAACACGACTTTAGAACAGCTTACAATGTCTGGAGAATAAGCAGTGGTTTTTAGTCTTTGTGAATATGAGGATCCCCTATTTGATGATCAGCAAACCTCACAGTCCACCCTCTACCCAATGCATGCACACATGAGGGCAATTGTCATGCTTCTTCTAGAGTCTCTGAGGTTTTGTTGATCCCAGCAGTGTGTATATGCTTTTGGAAAATGCTTATCTATGTACAGGACATTTTTATGCTGTTAGACTATTGTGTGCTTATGGATTTTGGACTCCCATGTCCTCAGCACAACTTAAGAACCATTGCCCTGAAGTGCATCCTTCGTGGTCACTTCTCCAGTCAGTCTTTTAACAGGAAGCAGCAAACTGGTAATTCCAGTTTAAATTCTGGGCCTTCGTGGAGTCTTGATGGTTTGTGTTGTTGATTGGAGAGTGATGGATGCATATGTGTAGATTACTTTTTTAAACAAGGGAAAGATAAACAGAGTCCACAGTAGTGGTTGCTTCTGAAGGGAAATTAGAGTGATGGGATAGGAAAGAAGCATGTAAGTTACTGTAAAAATTAGTAATATTCCAGCCTAGAGCTGTTGAATGGAAATGTAATACCAACTACATATATAATTTTAAATTTTCTCAATAAAAATAAAAAGTGAAGTTGATTTTTGAAATATATTTTATATATGCCCAGTATTTCCAAAATATCATTTTAACATGTAATCAAAAAGTATTCATGAAATATTTGTACATTTTTGATGCTAAGTCTTTGAAAGTGAAATTTTATACTTACAGTATCTTAGTTTTGACACTGAATATTTGATCTGTACTTAGATTTCATAAAATTCAGGGTAGAAAAAGTAGATTCACGTACCCAAGTTGTCCCAAACATACGTAAAAGCTTTTCAATAATTTAATTGGGAATGCTTTTCTAAATTTAAACTAAACAAAATTTAAAATTCAGTTCCTCAATCACACAGACCACATTTCAAATGCTAAATAGCTACATGTGACTAGCGGCCACTGTACTGGACAGTGTAGTTCTAGATCTTGAGTGATGTGTTCAAAAGTGTTCATTTTAATATTACTTCAAAACTTGTATACTTGTTGCATAATGTTTTGCATTTATTAAATATAATAAAAGGAAACAAAAAAAGAAAAACTTTAAAGAATCATCCCGAGGTCCCAATTAGTAGAAGATCCAAAAGAGAAGATAAAAACAGGAGAAAATTGCCAAAATAATTCCATAAGTACGTTTTCCAGGAATTAAGAAAATTAGTTCCAAGAAGGAAAGGCCTGCCAAACACCCAGTTCCATGAATGACAAAAGACCTACACGAAAGCACATCAATGAGAAATTTGAAAACACTGTGAATTGAAAGAAAGATTGGAGAATGGTTTAAGGCAGGGCAAAAAAACAGACTCACTGCCGATAAGTGGATTCGACTCATAGTGACTCCTCCTTGGATTTCTGAATCTTCATTCCTCTGAGTGGCTAATGGGTTTGAACCGCCACCCTTCTGGTTATCAGTCAAATTCTCTAGGCACTACCCCACAAATTCAAATACAGAGGGCAAGGAAGCAGTAGGATTATAGGACAGGAAATCTGAGTTTAGAGACCCCAGTAAGCATGCCTGTCATTTGCTCCAGAGGCTGTTCTTGAAAACACAGTCCAGAAAAAAGGGCAGTGTCTCACACTTAAGTGCGGAAACAGATTGGTGGAGACTTGTCTCCCAACAGTAACCACTGTTAACAAGTTGGTGTGTATCCTTCCATTATAATGTATCCGTACATTAATACATATTGTTCTTTAAAATACATCTGGAGCATAATCTAAAGTCTACACAGAAAAATAAAAAAATTTCAGCAGAGATTGTGCCATGTTTGGACAAAAACGTATCTAATGTTTGTGAACTCCACAAACTGTTAAGTTCCATGAGAGCAAGGACACCGTGTGCTGTTGTTTCGCTCCATATACTCCCTAATTGTAACGCTGGCGTTGGTAGGAGGGAGTGGGGGAGATTGGGAAAGCTTCCAGGAGGAAACACCAAGCCAAAGCTTGTTATTGTTGTTGTTAGGTGCCGTCATGTCTGTTCGGACTCCCAGTGATCCCACGTACAACAGAAGGACACACTGCCTGGTGCTGCTCCATCCTCACAGTCTTTGCCATGTTTGAGCCGATTGTTGGCAGCCACTGTGTCAATCCATCTCATTGAGGGTCTTTCTCTTTTTCATTGACCCTCAGCTTTACCAAGCATGATGTCCTTCTCCAGGACTGGTCCCTCCTGACATGTCCAAAGTACTAAGACGAAATCGTCCCATCCTCCCTTCTAAGGAGCATTCTGGCTGTATTTCTTAGATCCGTATAATTAGGATTGGAAACATGAAATGAGAGGCTTCCTCGAAGCGGGCTGGCTGAGGGGGAAACACAGGCTGATTACAAAAATAATTTGGAGCCAGGGACAGGACCTGTCTTCCGTTACAAGCAAATCCCAGACGTTTGACATCCATTCAGGCTGTGTCATAAGGAAGCAAGCAGTGTGGATGAATTTTTTTTTTATTTTATTTTATTTTTTTAATGTATTAGTTATTTGTGTACCCACCTTGAATACATTCGCCGCTCAATAACAGAGAAACGGATTAGTCAGTACTGGGGACACCTGTCCGACAGCTGGGACCATAGATCAGAGCCGATGAACCACCCTGACCCTTTAGATTGTGAGAATAAATCATCATAGTATGAATATGAAGAATGGATTTCTATTAAGTCTCGCCGGAGTGAGGCAGAAAAGACTCTGGCAGCGGTGGGATTCGAACCCACGCCCCCGAAGAGACTGGAGCCTTAATCCAGCGCCTTAGACCGCTCGGCCACGCTACCGCCTCCCAAACCCCGCTTTTTTTTTTTCCTCTAGAAGTAAGTATTGTAGCTTTCTTGCTCCAGAACAGAAGTTTTTGCCACTATTTTCTTCTCTGGTGCTTTCCCTACCATAGTCTGAGAGCCCTTCCTGGCACTCAACGACTACACAGCCCTACTCCCAACTCTTCGCTTCACTTAGAGAGCTTAGAGAGGTGGGCAGAAGACTAATAGACCCGAAACGCCTGCCCCCTTTTTGTCACTGTGGATGGTGATGCTCCCCGTGAGCACTGATGCCGCCGAATGAGCCCCCGAGTGGCTTTGGCACAATGAAAGAAACTGGAATGGGCCCCTCCATTCACCCACCACTGGGAATCGAGCGTCCTCCGAACACCAAGAAAGTAGCTTCTTCTTGTTATGTGCCGGGAAGTCAGACCC